TATTGGAGGAGAAAAAAAAGATCAAAGAAACAATAATCTTTCGTGATTTCAAGGTACATTTTACACACTTTCGAACACAAAATGCGACAGAAAAAATACTTTGCGTGGAACAAATGGTCTTAAATTTTTCTCCGTGTCTCACTAAAGTTTATAGAAACTTTTCCAATTGTTAAACATTACGAACTTCGACTTTGATTTTTGCCACTTTTGGCCAGAAAACAGGCGAAACGTCCCATAGTGCAGCGGTGAGGATGTGTATGCTGCTAATGATGTTACCTCCGCAAATGTGCAGGTTACTAGGAGATCGAAGGTAGACTTGATATTTGAACTGACCAATTGTAGCTGTGCTAGCCACGATCTGTTCAGGCTCGTCGCAGCAGGCCTCTATAATTAATAGCAAAACTATGTATTATTTTGTTCGACAATATTTCATACTAAAACAGAGAAAAATATTCATATTTTTAAAATCTATATCTTTTTAATTGAAAAAAAAACATATTTAAAAGGTCTATTATTAGAGAGCACGCGTTAGAGATCAATTTTGTCAAGTTTTATTTTAATTAAAACTAACAGATATTATCCATTGAATCTTCTATACGTATTATTCATATGTTTGTAAGTTACTAGATTTTGTTTACTTACGCTGGGCGAGGACGGCCGCAGCGAGCAGAATAGCTAACTTCATCCTCGCTGTCGCAAATCAAATCCAAATCGAATTACAAACTAGATAGAGGAGGCCACTCAATCACTGTTAGAAGCAGTGTGTGAATATTACACACTTTATCGCATGTGATGTGTGTCCGCCGTTTCAAGACGTCTGTAAGTGTGTGACTTTTTCATGCACGAATGGATGTTTGATTTTATTGGCGTGTGTGACTTTTCACACAAATGGAAGTGTATAACTTATTTAGGTGTGTAATTTTCAAGGTGCCAATAAATGTGTAAAAAAAGATTGCACTATGTACCAGATTTTGAAGTATCTCTGCTCCCGTCGTGAGGAACGACAGCTTATTTGTATCGAGGATTCTTCCAGTCAAGAAATCGTCCCGCGACAGGTTACCTCACTGGAATACTCCTCCTGGCTTCCACGCGGGCCTCCTTTTATACCCTACGAGACTGGATTTTGCTTCCGAGTTTTTGGCCGCCACCATGCGCGGCCTAGCGACGGTCGGCGAACTACTCAGAAGCTGGCGCTCGCGTATAGAAATATTACACATGTGTGAATATTACGATGTTTGACTATTTCAAACAGTATTAGATGTTTGATAAAATCCACACATTGAAGTGTGTGATTTCCACACATTCTCTAATGCATTTCATACGTGCATGTTAAGAGGATAATGCATGACATTTGAAAAATTATGCATTAAATATGTGTGACGCATTAATATTCACGCATTTCAAGTGCGTGACGTGTTAATATTCACACATGTGTGATAGATCTACTTCTAAAATTCTTATCGATTCTTTGCTCGCAAACACAGATTTCGTGAATTTTGCGATATACGTATTTGCGTGCAACGATATAAAAATTATGCAAATGTAAATTATACAAAGTTAGAATATTATTTCTTTATTTTGATTCAACGTGTTAATCTTTTTATTCATCGGTATTAATACTTCATGTAGTTTGAACAAAAATTACATTTTCACTTAACTTGTTTTGTGTATTCCTAAACAGCACCAAGTCGACTATTAGTTGACTATCAGTCGGCAGCAGAAGTCTAAAGTCGACTTCAAAGTCAAGCTGAATGTCAACTTATAGTGAACTAATAGTCGACAAATGACTTGACTATAGTCGGCTGTCAGTCAGCCAAAAGTCGACTTAGAAGTCGACTTTATGGCAATTAAAAGTCGACTTTATGATGATTAGAAGTCTACTTTATGGCGACCAGAAGTCTACTTTATGGCAATTAGAAGTCAACTTTTAATCAATTTTACGTTATTTATATTAACTACTAAATGTTTAATAGTGACATCTTGAAAACCTGATTGATTAAAGTTTTTATATTTTAATTGTATAATATTTACAATATATGTATAATACAATTAAGAAATAATAAAATTATATTGATCAAGTCTTTGAAGATGCTCCAATTAAACTTAAATAATAATTATAATGAGCATATGTCTTAATAAAAAAACAGACAATAAACCAGAGTATATATTATATTATTTAATTATGCTTTTATATTTTTGACAAATTTGACAGGTTTCCTTGATTAACTTGTATTAATCGACACATTACGTCGTATTAATTCGATAGCCACGCGAAAAATATGACTCATCTTATGTCCAAATACGATTGTCGTCTATCAGGAAGACACTTATAATTCACGAACAAGCAAGGAGCATGCATGTCGCGACTATCGCGCTACACGCGGAAAGTGAGACGTCGATTCGCTATATATGGGTTCGACATATTGACCAGAAAGATTGGCCAAAAAGATATTTTTTACACATTTTTGCACTTTGCCGAAAAAATATTTTTTAGTTCATTTTTCGCTTTACCGAAAGGCGACTTTAAACTTCCTGAAAATGTCGACTTTAGGTCGACTTTCAGTCTATATGTTAAAGTCGACAATAAACCATTCTATAGATAGTAGACTAAATGTCGACTTAAAAAATTAACTTCAAGGTGACTAAAAAATGTCGACTATCAGCCGGCAAACAGTCATTTGTGCTATGTGGGTTGTCATCAAACTGTTATCTATAATATATAACATCTTGGGTATTCTAAATTTTACACATTTACGTGATTACACATTACAAATGTTTAATCATAAATAAACGAAAGATATTTAATGAAATACTGTTACAGCTGCGATGTATACGTGTTGTATATATAGTATTTAGGATCGGGCGGGATGATTCGGGCGACGAAATGAATACTCTGCTTATACGATTGTCGTCTATCAGGAAGACACTTATAATTCACGAACAAGCAAGGAGCATGCATGTCGCGACTATCGCGCTACACGCGGAAAGTGAGACGTCGATTCGCTATATATGGGTTCGACATATTGACCAGAAAGATTGGCCAAAAAGATATTTTTTACACATTTTTGCACTTTGCCGCAAAAATATTTTTTAGTTCATTTTTCGCTTTACCGAAAGGCGACTTTAAACTTCCTGAAAATGTCGACTTCAGGTCGACTTTCAGTCTATAGTTAAAGTCGACAATAAACCATTCTATAGATAGTAGACTAAATGTCGACTTAAAAAATTAACTTCAAGGTGACTAAAAAATGTCGACTATCAGCCGGCAAACAGTCATTTGTGCTATGTGGGAACTGACAATATTTTACTCGCGTGTGCAAGGAAAAATGTATTGAAACGTTATACGTTCTAAAGTATAATTATATTTTTTTATGTTTTATATAGAAACTGTTTCAGCATTAAACTTTCATTATTTCACTACTCATTAAACGTGGAAGCTTTTAGAATTCCATTGGACTGTAACATAGTTTATTTACTGTTGCTACGGAATGTCGGCTTACTTAAAAGAGTGGAGAACGTTAATATGTAGAAATAGGCAATGTTTTAAACGCAGATTATCAGCACAATAATTGCGATTCTTTGATAAAATCGAGATACTTGTAAACATTAGTGTAAACATCAGATATTCCCAAAGCGCAGGGCAAGACCCAAGAAACGACACCGACGAGCTCGTCGTCGACTACGAGCGGCCCACCGCTGTCACCCTGGAAAAAGTGCGACAATAAAGTTTTTATCAGCAATTTATAGAAGTAAATGACGGAACAACGTTCAAACAATTAGACAACTTAGTCCTCGAAAACGCCGTATTTAATTTATTAATGTCTCTTAGCGAATAGCTGTACGCATACTTAACGTTCGTGAGATGAATTATGCATAACATAAAAAGTAAGTGGAAAAGTGACTTACTTGACAAGCGCCCTTCCCGACTTTTTCCAGCGTGCATATCTGATTCTCGTTGGTGCGTGGATTTTTGTGACCACTCAGGCAGCGTTCTTGGCTCAAAACGTTCACGCTAAGCCATTTAAGTATTGGCGAGGAAGATCCACTTATTTTCGTTTTTCCCCATCCGCTCACAATACCCCGCTTATCGCCGTTAACATGGTTCTTACTTGTTAAGGGAATCGGACCTTGCGCCCAGTTTATCTTGATCGGTTTCTTCAGCTACGCGAACGGACGTTCGCACAAATTGCGACACGAGTTGAATGAAAATTGGAATAACCGAGATTGTCTCTTCTACTATGACACTAATCTTATTCACTTTCCAGATACTTGAACTTACAGTGATCACGGCGATATCATCCTTCCAGCCACCGTCCCTTTCACCAGTGTAGTTTGGGTGTTTTCGAATGCATTTGATGTCGTGCCTGTCGCCTCCCGCTGCTAATAGGTTGTCGATTCCGCTTACGACAACCTGCAAGTTCAATTATTAATTCGATAAGATGGAAGTGGAAGGATAAAAAAATTTTTAATCACATTAATGCAAAAGAGAAATGGAATAACAGAAGAAAAAGGACATACTGCGCGAATGAGTTAGAAGATGATATTGTATTCGATCTTGATTATGTGAATTATTTATTGCATGACAAGTTGTACTTTCATTTGATTAATGGAGAAATATTTACATATTCAGTTAATTCAGCTATTAATTGAGAATAACTGAGTTAATACACAACAGCTCTCTTAATAGCTCTGTTAATGCATGGAATAACAAGGAAATCAGGAACACAGATACTAAATACCATAATATTAACGTTATATGTATTATGTAAATACCAGAATAATAATCTGAATACACCCGATGAAATTTAACTCAATTACTCGAATAATATTCATCATTCCCTAAACAGCTTTGTTAGATACGAGTAGAGCTTAGAGAAAGATATGACACAGAAGTAGAATTCGGTATAAATAATTATAAAGTTCCAAATTATTTCTAATTCTGACTAACAGTAATTTTATTATTGATTTGAATATTTCGCTTTTCTCTCTCGAGAAAAATAACCTTTTAGAAGCGATCTAAAATAAAAATAATTTATTTTAATAATACAAAAACATCTTTCTATATCGCTGCGGGTTAATAATGAAATTTTGCTGATGTAAAATAATTACATACCATGTCATCCGTGTAAAACTCATCGTCTACGCAATGAGCAGCGGTGAGGATGTGTGTGCTGCTAATGATGCTACCTCCGCAAATGTGCTCACCATAAGATTGAAGGGAGACTTGATATCTGAACTGACCAATTGTAGCTGTATCGCCACCCACGATCCGTTCAGGCTCGTCGCAGCAAGCCTCTATAATTAATAGCAAAACTATGTATTATTTTGTTCGACAATATTTCATACTAAAACAGAGAAAAATATTCATATTTTTAAAATCTATATCTTTTTAATTGAAAAAAAACATATTTAAAAGGTCTATTATTAGAGAGCACGCGTTAGAGATCAATTTTGTCAAGTTTTATTTTAATTAAAACTAACAGATATTATCCATAGAACCTTCTATACGTATTATTCATATGTTTGTAAGTTACTAGATTTTGTTTACTTACGCTGGGCGATGACGGCCGCAGCGAGCAGAATAGCTAACTTCATCCTCGCTGTCGCAAATCAAATCCAAATCGAATTACAAACTAGATAGAGGAGGCCACTCAATGTTTCCCTCTTTTATATACAACGTAACTGTATTCAGCCTTGTGTAACAGCTGGCTTTGTTTGCGCTGTAAGAGACTGAAAATATATTACGCACTTTACTCATTCAATTGTTAATGAAGCACATCTGCAAAATCCATATTATTACGTACCTTTCGCGATTCAAGGCGGAAAGAATAAATGTGAAGAGAATTAATTAATATTTTTTACGAACAAATGCTATCCTATAATTATCGCGAATTGTTAATTACACAACGCAGGACATTAATTGATTTATCAAGCACACTTTTGGATGTGTAAATTTAATATTTTCTTATGAATCTATCAGATTAGAATTGCTACATATTGAATTATTGTCCAGTACACGATTCCATCTATTTGTGCATACTTGTAGAAACGATACGATTGTTTGACCTATTATATCTAAACGGCCAGTACGATTTATTATTTTAGAGAACTGCTTTTTTTATGTCCAACATTCAATTAAATATTCAAAAAATAAAAATGGTTTTGTTAAGTAGTTTAAAGTTATCGAATACATTGAAAACATAAAACTTGCAGAAAAATTATATCTATAACATATTGATCTCGTGACATATACCAATAAACTGAATTAACTAGTACGTCAATCGAGTATAAACGGTTTCATTTTTATGTATTATAAGTATTGTTAATGTATTAAAAATTATTTGCAAACTTTCTACCTGTGTTTCATATTTGAATGATATAAAAATATCGCAATTTTATCTGTCATTAACAGTGATTAACAATACGCAATTTTCAATTTACAATACTTATATATTTTATATACACACACAACAATTTTATAATTTATATACACATAACAATTTTCGTAATTTTGCATTTTTAATTTAAAGAGCATAAACTAAAATACACTAATCTTTATTATTATTTAGTACATAACTACACTTTATCAATTATTTTATAAATTAATTTTATATATAATTGCTATCACTAATAAAATTATTACTTGACTCTTTACCGTATATTTAAATGCATGAATTTTGAGAGGATTGTTATTTAATACAGTAGAAAAAATAGCAAAAGCTGATGAATTAAAATTACAAATACATATCAGATTTCGCGGTGATTTCATGAAAATATTTTACTTTCTTGTAGTAAAACGTATCGTCAATATGTCATATAGTTTTTTCGTTCGTTTCAAACAGTTTTCATACAGTTTCAGTGTGGAAAAACATTGACATTCATTGACAACAACTCGTTATTGACGTGCAAACAAAACTAAATAAACCAAGTTGATATTTAGCCCATATTTTTAGATACTTTGTGTATAGTCTACGTTTCATAAATACAAAAAATAATTGCAACAAATTATTTTTATTTACGATGCGTGCAAATAAAGCTTAACTTTTTATAAATTCCCCAAAGTGATAATCCGAGGAATCCATTTTGCAAGTGGTATACAGCATGAATTTCAATGATTGACTAATGAGTACTGTTAAAAGTCGATCAAATCTATCCACGTGACACACGAATCGAAACGCAGGTTGTTTCAACCAAACATATTCCGAATGCAAATTTAAGCAAACTTCAATGTAAATTTGTTGAAACTGTATACCATTAAAATGTACATATATTTCAATTAAATTTGCGCCGACGGTCAGTGATTGATCAATTTATAATCGCCAAGTTTATTTTTTACAGACTCAATTAAAAAGTAACATGTGTCTTAATTAAATGGGTATTCGTCATATTTACGAATATCTGTACGATACAAACCAAAATAAAATTATATCAATTTTTAATCAAACGTGGTTTTTCTATATTTAATACTTACTTATATAATATTTGTGAATACAAGTTTCTGAAACAGTTGTAAAAATATGTAATTAATTATTTAACAAATAATAATTGAGTACGTGACGATAAATGGCTAAGTATCAAAATGTCGATGGACGATTTTGACAAAAAACATATTTTACTTGGTTTAGATGTGTACATTGAAATGAAACAACGCACATTGAAAATAATGAATATGCCTGCAATATCTCAAATGAAAAAACGTAAACGCATAAAATACTTGTCGGCAAAACTGACTAATGCGCTCTGCTCTGCCAATGCCTTTATATTATCGCGTCCCAATTTCGCGGGATCGATATTTGACGTAATTACCGGCATATAATTGTGTACCGCGTTGCTTCGTGATGGTAAATTTACGCAACACTCATTAAACAACTTCTTATCGATTCTTTGCTCGCAAACACAGATTTCGTGAATTTTGCGATATACGTATTTGCGTGCAACAATATAAAAATTATGCAAATGTAAATTATACAAAGTCAGAATATTATTTCTTTATTTCGATTCAACGTGTTAATCTTTTTATTCATCGGTATTAATACTTTATGTAGTTTGAACAAAAATTACATTTTCACTTAACTTGTTTTGTGTATTGTCATCAAACTGTTATCTATAATATATAACATCTTGGGTATTCTAAATTTTACACATTTACGTGATTACACATTACAAATTGTTAATCATAAATAAACGAAAGATATTTAAGCGAAATACTGTTACAGCTGCGATGTATACGCCCGCTTATAGAGTAAGAAAGTTCTTTCGCTAAATAAATCAATATTGATTATAAATGACATAAAAATTTCTATCCTAACATCTATTTTTATGCCATGTTGTGTAAAATGACATATAGTGAGACAAGAAGCCCAAGTTCATTCAATTATAAAATGACCCTGTTGCTTGGTAAAGTAATCGGTGGTGTGAAGAGTCTATAATGTAAAAAAAAATCTCCCATTAACTCATTAACGTGGCCATTAACAATTTAATTTACTGCAGCACTCTACGTTCCAGATTCCGTACCTAAGACTCTAAGATAGTAATAAGATGGCACCCACGTTCTTTCGGAAAAGTTTTCTGCGGGTTAATGAATTTAAATGCATTGAAACCAGACGTTTTTATTAAAATTAATACTCATTATGTATTTATTAACTGTCGATAGATTTACTTTATTGTAACATCCTACACATATAAAATAAAAGTTTCAAGATGGTCGGTGCGTCGGGAATCACACTGCATTTTATCGTAGTTGACGAAAGCTTGCATTTTCAGGTCGACAGTATCCCTCGCGATAAACTTGACGTTCGTAAATATTTTAACTGGCTCAGCTTTTCGTGGCAATTTGCGTGAAAAGGGACGCTAAAAGCGAGGATGAACGCGCTATTGGGAAGGTACATTCGTTTGGCCGGCCGTTGTTTATCCGAAGCAACAAAGTTGAATTGTCCGTTAACAAAGCAAGATCGCAAACACTTTTTACGGAAAAGCGGCCTCTTTTTTTGTTTGAGTCACGCACAGAGGCGGATCTGCGAAAATTAGCCACCGTTTGTCTATCCGGCTATCGAAACCTCTCGATAGTCCCGCGCGTGTGTCGATCTACGAAAACAAAGCGTATTTTTGGTAGGGGAAAAAAAGAGAAAAAAAATTATATACGTATAAAATATGTCTAAAAAAAATCAACTGCGTTAAATCGAGCACGAAAAAATGTACGGTGCAGATGCATGCCATTTATAAAATCCCGTATTTGCTTCGCCATATCGAGCCGTGAATTTAACATGTGTGTTTCATTCTGAAATTTCGGTGTTATTATGCACTTTAATATGGCATTGTGGATTTTGCACCAGTGCTCACAGGATTTAAACGTATCAATATGTTTTGCGGTTTCAATAGTGCTTCAAGCAATCCAATTAATGTACGCATATCGGTACCAGCAGACAATATCTCGTTCTAATTTCAGTACAATGAATACGAAATATCCTGATTTTTTTAGCGGCTTTTGTTTCAACTATTATTTCTCCGTAATTATATAGTTGTAGTGGGAAAAGAAATTGTTTTTTAATAAATTTAAATAAAAAATGGTATGCTGCTCATCACGCCATTTATTGCAGAATTGACAAGTAATTTCTTACGCGAAAAGAAAAATGTAGCTGTCGTAGCAAAAACTTGCATGCGGCAACTAAAGTTCAGTTGCAAAATATCGACAGCTAATATTTAGTTGTGACAGCTAAATTTTGCTACTGCGTCTAATTGTATTAGGTGCGACAGTTTATAAATTTATAGTTAAGGCAACAAAATATTTTTAGCAAGCCATGATTAGCTACGGTAGCCAAAAAATTTCTTTTCAGTGTAATTATAGTCCTAACTAATCGCTTTAATTTCTATCTTTGTTTGTGACTTGAGTTTATATGTTTTTAGACGCGGATTCAATAAACACGTTTCGAATGTATTTCAATCGAGATTGAGCGATGGAGGGAATAGCAGTACGGAATAGTTGCTCGTGTGAAACCTCACGAGTCGCGTATCGAGTCGCGTGAAACAGGACTCAAAGCTATGTCTTCCAAGATTAGCTTTATCCAAGTTCCTCCGCTGTATCGCGGTATAAGCAAATATGACGTCACGAATATCAAATTGGCTCTCAAGACTCCGCGTATTGAATCATATCAAGTTTCAAGACTGATTCCACTTAAATTTGTAAGCAGAAACGCGACGGTAAATGTACACGAGTCTTGAGTAAATATCACTAGATAAACTGGATAAACAACTACATTACTAAGTAACTGCTGCAGCTAGACAGGGGATTAACCTGACGATTCAATATTTCCCCGAGATATTTAATAAAAGTAATCGAGTCGATAGTCGCGTGGAGAACAATCACGATCGTGCTGATCTTTAATTTGAACGCAGGTGAAAGACGGGAAAGTGGAAGATACGTGAAATTTATCGTCGGCGGGCGATGCCCACTAACGAATGTGTCCCAGAGGGGCGGAACGGGTGGACAATGCAGTTTTCCAATTTTCATCCCCCCACCCTGGCCGCGCGTCCGAGCCCCTGTTCGACCTGACCAGCTAGCTCCCCGCGCGCGCTCTCATCCTTTATCATCCGCTACCCGAACAATCATAAAGCATGTTGATTCACGGTCCGCCGTAAATTTAGTGTTATTTTATTCCTGTTTTAGCGTCGCTTAAGCGGCACTTTTAACGATCACCGACTACGCAGCCCGAATTGCATCGCGCCTCGTTAGACGCGAGATCGTCGCGCGCTCGTTGACTTTTCTGCGACTGTCTATCGCGCGACACGCGCCGACATCCGCCGCGATTTGATTGCACGTCACGCAGCCTAATTAACTGCTGCATCCCCACGAGTTTCTCCTTATGCAGCATAAATTAGTCTTCCCGCGGGCGAGAACGTTCAAATTTTAATACTGTACTAATACCTGTATTATTAAAAAATGCTAGGTATGGTCAAGGAAACACCGACGTTGTTAATTATCGCTGACGACATTGAAGAATTCTTATTAGTTGATTATTCACCATTGACCTAAAACATGGTGTTTTCCGCGCAATTGGGAAAGGGGGGAGGAGGGAAGAAAAAATCGCGTATTCGACAGGTCTGCGTACGGCCGACAAATAAAAAAAGTCGAAATAGACGCGTAGATAATATCTTTATACTGTTATCGCGACAAATATTACCATATGCCTCGGTGGTCGAATTGGTGAGGCGCACGCCTAGAGCGTGGGGAGGTCCAGGTTCAAACCCTCGCTGAGGTAATATTTGTCGCAATAAATTTGCTGTATCATTAAAAATGCCAGGTATAGTCCAGAAA